GAAATGCTCTGAAGATGGACTCCCCTGCTGCAGGGTTGCTGGTGGGATTCCGTGTGTTTCTTTTTGCTGTCTGAGTTTTCAAGGCTGGAGGGTAGGAGGGTATGTCCCCGTCTGTTAGGGTACATGATTGGCTGAGCGGCATTTCTGAGTTAGGGTGCTCCTTACAGCTATCTGTGACTGTTGGGACACCTAATCCCCACCCCATACTCCCATCTGTGTCTTGTGTATCAAGATTTCTGGTTGCTTTTTCCTTTTTATCTGGAAATTTAACTGATTCTCACCCCGTCCTGCAGCTCTCTTCTCGGTCAGCTGGAGTCCTTGCTGGAGTTGGCCGCAGGACTTAACCGTTGATCTGACACCCTCTTTTGTCCTTTTACTGCCATTTAGTTGGTCTCCTGCCTGGGCCTGGAGTGCCCTTCTTTCCTCTTCTTCACTGCCCCGGGAAGGTTTCCCCTCCCTAATGAAGGCTCCCAGGAGCTCCACCAGGCTCTGCCCAGGACTGCCCTCTGGAGATGCCCCTTTGTGTGTGAATTTCTTCCTCTCGCCCTCCCTGTAGCAGGGCAGGAAGTCTGGGGGCCGTGCCTGCAAGGCTGGCCCCTGCATGTGACAAGGAGCCCTCCTACAACTTGGCGGTTGTTTCCAGAAAGAAGGAACAGGAGTGGGCAGGGAGGCGAGCAGGTACCAGCTGTTCCCTGCCTCTAGCTGGGAAGGGACTAAAAACAAGTGCGCTGGGAGCAAGCTTTGCTCTGAACGGGCTCCGACCAGCAGCCTGAGGTGGTGCCCCGCTCCGCACCGCACCCCCTGGGAGTTCCTGCTGGTTCTGGGTGACGGACGTGGGCTGTGGGAAAGGGAGGAGTCAGGGACAACTTCCAACTTTTTGGCCTGGGCAACTGGAAGGATGGAGTTTCCATGAGCTGAGGTGGAGACCTGTGTGTGGGCCTGGGGGTCAAGATCAGGCGTTCCGTCTTGGACACGAGGCCTTCAGGACGTCTTTGAGACGTTCACATGGAGATGTGGAGTAGGCAGTGATCTGTGTGGGACTTCGGGAGAAGAATCCGGGGCTCTTCAGCACATGGGTGGAGAAGCACGGGCTGTCCCCACTACTTTCCCCAGCAAATTTTAAGTCCCTGGGAAGACATAGGCAGCCATGGGCAGATGGCGGGAGGGTGCCTGTGCGGCCATGCCACTTTCGCTGTCCCCTGCACAGCACGCAGCGCTCTCGGAGTACCGGCCCATCCTCTCCGAGGTGCACCAGTTGCAGCGCCGCTCCTCTGTGGCCGACAAGAAGCTGGTCCTCATCCCGCTCATCTTCATCTGTCTCCGGATCTGGAGCACCGTGCGGTTCATCCTGACCCTCTGTGGCTCCCCAGCAGTGCAGACACCGGTGCTGGTTGTTCTGCACGTAGGTCTGCCTCCCCCTGCCCCACGTGGACAGATCCCTTCCCCTAGCAGAGCAGGTGCATTCCAATTTGTCAGCCAGGATGGGGCTGCAGGGAGCTCAGCCTTGAAGAGAGATTAGTGTGGCTGGGGGCAATCCAGTGGCCTTAGGAGTAACCCCAGCAGAGTTGACTGATCCTGAGTCCTTCCCAACCCAGAAGACCTGCAGACAGGTCTGTGCCAGGCCTGCCAGTTCAGGCCTTCCCAGAGCTCTGCCAAAGGTCATCCCAGACCAGCCTGGGGGTGGGCCACGGTCCCCAGCCAACTCACGTTTGTGTTTTTCGGACCAACTCCAGCCCCAGCCCTCATACCTCCTCTTTCCTCCCTGCAGGGCATCGGGAACACGTTTCAGGGAGGTGCCAACTGCATCATGTTCGTGCTCTGCACCCACGCCGTGCGGGCTCGGCTCTTCAGTCTCTGTTGTTGCTGCTGCTCCTCCCAGCCTCCCGCCCAGAGGCCGGCCGGCCCTCCCGAGGCTCCTGCACCCTCCAAGATGGGAGAATCTCAGGACAGGAGAATCCCAGTGGACCCCAGAGCAACTTCCCAGCACCTGAGCTTTTGCCCTTCCTAGCTCCCTGCCAGGTGCAGCCTTCCTGGGACAGGTGGTTCTATGAGTCCCCCTGCGGGGAGTGGGAGGGGATGTCTGCTGCACCAGAGTTCCTGCTGTCAAAGCTCTTGACCCCAGTGGGGGAACAGCTGCCGACTCAGCTTCTACCTCCTAGACCCTCAGGCAGCACGTTCCACTCACACCCATATCCTGGCACATTTGGGGGCTTCCTCTGCATGAGAGCATTGATGACATTCAGGGAAACCACTGGTACGTGATCACCACCAGGGTGCCTCTAGTCCGGTTT